GAGCCTTCCATATTAGCCATGTTCTAAGTGACTTTTTATGATATGAAAATCAAGACATCACACTTAGAAATGGAATTGACATGCTTTCCACTAAATTCGCATTGTTAAGTGATGTTTCAGGCTAGGCACAATACCTACGCCCATTGGGATGTGCCCTGAATCATGATGCAGTCTACTGAATCATAACTAAGTCAATCAGTCAACATAAATTTGAGGGTAAAATATGCAACGTGACTTCACCATGGAAAACTGCACTCATGGAGTGAAACACTGCCCATAGCTTCCTTCTCCTCTTTTCCTTTTTATTGGTGTATATTAATCTTAAAAGAGGTTTCATTGTATATATATCCACACATACTTTGATTAAATTCACTCTCTCTGTTATACTTTCAAATCCCTATTTGAAAATAATTTTTTGAAGTTTTAGGAAGGATTTATTTTATTATAACAGGATAAAGTATAGACAAGGTAGACAGAAGAGAAGAGAGAGAATCATTTCCTGTTCTCTATGCAGGAAATGGGAGCAAAGATTCCTCTTTTAAAATAATTTTAATGGATTTCAATATTCTGTCTTCCAGTGCCTACATAAAGAACTTTGATCATGTTCACCCCATCACACTCACATTTCACCATCACCTCTTCACTGCCACCCAACAAGTCCTCATTTTACATATTTGTCTCCTTTAGGTCTAGTTTCCTCATATAAGAAAGAGCATGTGATATTTGACTTTTTAAGGCTGTATTGTACTAAGAGATGGAGATTTTTAGATATAGATATTTTCTTAATAATGAAGACATAAAGAACCAAAAATCGTATGTTCTTCCTTATATGCGGACTGTAGATCTAGGGCAAATGCAGCAATGTTGTTGGATGTGGGTCACATGTTGTTGGATGTGGGAATGGGGATAGGTAGGAAACCCAAAACATGATAGTGTTTGACGTCCCCACTGCAGAGGAGCTAATAAAGTAACCTTAAAGCGACAGAGGTCAATATGGGAAGGGGATCAAGAACTAGTGAAAAGATCAGGTAGAGATAAATCAACTTGGGTTGTAACACACTTGGCCATGGAAGAAATGCTAGGAATCTCTCTGTATAGCTATCCTTATCTCAGCCAGCAAAAACACTTTGTCTTTCTTATTATTGCTTATATCTTCTCTTCAACAAAATTAGAGATAAGGGCAGAACAGGTTCTGCCTGGAAGAGAGGGAGTCGTGAGAGGGAGAGGGAGAGGTTGGGGGGAAGGGCCCAAACAATGTATGCACATGTGAATAAATGAAAAAAAATTAGAAATAGAACAAATCAGAGAAACTATCTGATAAAGCAGTAATAAAAATCAAAAGTAGACAAAATTAAAACAATGTTGGCAAGATAAATATATTATGAGGACCATAACAAAAATCCACAGTGTAGAAACAAATCTTAAAAGTAAGGACATCTTATTTTTAAAATACTTAATTCTCACAATTCTGGAGGACCAAAGTCCAATATCAAAGCATAAGAAAATACTGTGTTCTTCCTGAGATATGCTCTTTGTTTGGAGATTGCAGAACAATACACATTTAAATAATACAAATTAAAGAAAGTTCAGCAAAAATTTAAAATGATGTGAACAGATTAGGAAAAAGTGAAAGGGGTCAATTCATTTTTAGTCATAATAATCTTAAACACATTGATTGAAGACTCAGTATTAGTAAGGTATGAAATCTCTGTAGGTTGCTCAATTGATTCAGAGAAATTTTTCTTTGTATCTTATTTTTATAATTTAACAAAATTATGCAAATATACAAAGTAAGCTAGAAAAGTCTACAATTTTGAAAAGTTATAAATTTGAAAGATTTACATTAACTGATTTCAATATTCGATATAAACCTAAGAAAAATAAAAGTGTGATATAAAAATTAAAGAAATATAGATCAATACAATCGAATAACGGTTTGAAATATAGACAAAAAAAATCATGTTTATTTTTCAAAAGATATAAAGGTTGATCAATGGAGAGAAGAGTCTTTTAAGGAAAGGTGGATCAAGTATATATCCACATGTAAACGATGAAATCAGTCTGTAAGTCATACCACATACAACAATTAACTCAAGTGATCATAGAACCAATTATAATATGCTAACTCAAACAATTTCCACATCATGCATGTAGAAAATTCTTTACATGGAAAAATATTTGTGTGTTGTGAATTCTAAAGAACTATCAATAAAAGAAAGAATGTAACTTAAATGTCATCACAATTAACATTTTTATATTAAAATATCAGTATTAAAAAATAGAAACATAAGCTGTATACTGAAAGAAATTCTTTCCAAGTATAGTGTATTAAAGAATTTTTATCCAGAGTGTAGAAACAAATCTTAAAAGTATAGACATCTTATTTTTAAAATACTTAATTCTCACAATTCTGGAGGACCAAAGTCCATTATCAAAGCATAAGAAAATACTGTGGTCTTCCTGAGGTATGCTCCTTGTTTGCAGATTGCAGAACAATACACATTTAAATAGTACAAATTAAAGAAAGTTTGGCAAAAATGTAAAATGATGTGAACAGAGTAGGAAAAAATGAAATAAAAAATATCTAAAATTTCAAAACTTACCTCAAAATTGCTTAGAGAGTAATGCCCAATTGTGAATAACTCTATTGGAAACAAATAAAGCCCCCAAATCTATTGTTTTAGCTTCTACTTTAAGAAATTAAACAAGAAAAGGGGACCAGGAACTAGAGAAAACGTGAGATCAAAAAGAATTAACCTAGAAGGTAACACACACACACACAGGAAATTAATGTGAGTCAACTCCCTGTATAGCTATCCTTATCTCAACCAGCAAAACCCTTGTTCCTTCCTATTATGGCTTATAGTCTCTCTACAACAAAATTAGAAATAAGGGCAAAATAGTTTCTGCAGGATATTGAGGGGGCAAGGGGGAGAGGGAGGGGGCAGAGTGGGTGGTAAGGGAGGGGGTAGGGGCAGGAGGGAGAAATGACCCAAGCCTTGTATGCACATATGAATAATAAAAAAATGAAAAAAAAAAGAAATTAAACAAAAGAAACTAAATGAAACCACCAGTTTTGGAAAAGGAAAATTAAGTTTGCCCAATTGAAGTGGTTGTGTGTCCACCATTGCCTTTGTTAAACATGCATTAAAACAAATGTCTCATTATTGTTAGTTTAAATGACCTAGTGTTTATATAAGGTTTGCATATCTTCTGTAGTTTACCACATTAGAGTAGACATCTTATTCTTTTTTGTTCTGTTTTTTTTTTAATTGACATAGAATGGTTGTACATATTTTGGGGGACACAGTGTAAACATGCAAACATTGCACAATGGTCAAACCAGGAAAATCCACATATCTTTAATATTAAACATTTACCATTTTTAAAATTAAACATTGAAAACATTATTTCTGGATACTGTCAAGTATACATTATATTTTTGTTAAGTATATTCAGCCTACTATGGAAAAGAACTCCAAATTATGGCCATTTTAAAAACAAATTCCCCAATGATATTCCACAGAGATTTTGACTCTTCCATGACATAAGATTTTAGGTCACATATTACTGATTTTGTTATATCAATGGAGTTCAATAATTGTTTTACATAAGGGATACATTTCTCAAGAGTTTAATTTACATTATAAAGTCTCTAACCATGTAATAACACACATGTATAATCTTCAATCCTGAGGAAGAAGTATTCATGCTAAGGTTTGTTTTATATAATTAGAATCTAGTTACTTAAAAATGGAAATGAAATGTATTTTCTGAAGAAAATTTACTTAAACTATCTAACTTAACTGGTTTCTACTTAGTGAATGCTAATGAGAACTCTTGTTCTGGGCATTTAGTATTAAAATGTTTTGCCTTTTATTGAGAGACAGTTGAGGACAGAATACAGTAATTTCCTCTGTAATTATACATTGATGTGCATAGAAATACAGACTAAACACAAAATAATACATTCTTTCTCTGTCTCTCTCTCCCTCTTTATTTCCCTCCCTCCTTCCTTTTCTTTTCCTTTCCTATTCCAAACTTATGAGCTCTATAATTTAGTAACAAATATGATCTTATTATGGTGCCATTGCCACCATAATTCTGAAGGTGGAATTAATGTGTCAGCATTCCGGTCATCTTATCAGGGAATGATTATACCTCTACTCAGAAAAGAAAATTGATACTTTTGTATTTGCTTTGAATTTACCACAGTCAAGTTTGTTATTATCAGTGTACAACAGTTGAAACACAATTTTCTAGGAGAATTTCTTCTTTTAGCTAGCAAATGTCTTATTACTTTCTTTTCTGTTTTGGGTCAAATGATGAAAAAATTATGACTTCACTTTATAATTTGTTTGCATTTCTTTAAAAATTTGTTGACACTATAGAAACATAGAGTGTTCATGTTCTAGGCTACCTTCACTGAGTAGTCATTGCAGTGATCATGAAGCCATGCATCTATTCTCCTGCAATCTGAGGAGGAGGACAGAAAGTAAATTTACTCAACGTCCTTATGCCTTTTCCTAAAGAGGATGGAAAAGATGGCTTGTCTTTATTATACATTGAAAATCATCAATAAAACAGTTGATATTTTACAGAACCACAATAGCTGTTACACTGCCTGGACTTACTTCTTAACATTCTCAGTGAATAGGAATTGATTTCCGTACAGTAGTACAGCATCTCACTGAGTCTATTTCAAAGGCCATCACACCACCTACATGAGGAAAACATCTGAACTACATAGCAATAGTTATTGGTTGAGAATCTTATAAGGCTATTGCTAATGCTTATATCAATTTTCACCAATGGAATCCACTAAGTTACACAATTTGCATTATTCTGACAATTGTTTAACATTCTGAGAATTTGACAACTGTGTTTCTCTTATATTTCATGTACGTATGTTTCAACTTTGTTATATTTCCTCTTGTTTTCTCCGTTGTTCTCACATAAGCTAATCATTTTTCATTCACTTGACTAGTAATGAAGTGACAATGGTAGAGGGAAACTGTACCACTGTGACTGAGTTCATTCTCCTGGGATTATCAGATGACCCTGAGCTGAGAGTCTTCCTCTTCCTGTTCTTCCTTCTCATCTATGGAGTCACACTCTTCGCCAACCTGGGCATGGCCTCACTGATTCAGCTCAGTTCTCAGCTGCACACGCCCATGTACTTTTTCCTCAGCCATTTGTCCTTTGTGGATTGCTGCTACTCCTCAATCATTGTGCCAGAGATGCTGGGTAACATCTTAAGTAATGACAAAGCCATTTCTTTCCTAGGGTGCATGCTGCAATTTTACTTATTTTGTACTGTTGCAATCACTGAGGTCTTCCTGCTGGCTGTGATGGCCTATGACCGCTTTGTGGCCATCTGTAGCCCTCTGCTCTACACAGTCATCATGTCCCAGAAGCTCTGTGTGGTGTTGGTTTCTGGCTGCTACCTTTATGCATCCCTGTGTGCTCTGCTTCATTTATGCTCAGCTCTTGGGATTCAATCCTACAAGTCAAATGTGATCAACCACTTCTTCTGCGATCTACCACCTCTCTTAAGTCTTGCTTGCTCCAATGTCACAATCAGTGAGATGTTGCTGTTCATTGTAGTCAATTTCAATGAGATCCTGACTATAATGATCATCTTGACCTCCTACTTGTTTATTCTCATCACTGTCCTGAGGATACACTCTGCAGAGGGAAGGTACAGAGCATTCTCCACCTGTGCCTCCCATCTCACAGCCATCACTGTCTTCCATGGAACAATCCTTTTTATTTATTACCAGCCCAGTTCTGGTAATAGCCTGGATATTGATAAGGTGACTACTGTGTTCTACACTATAGTGATTCCCATGTTGAACCCCCTGATATATAGCCTGAGAAATAAGGATGTGAAAGAATCGTTCAAAAAGGTGGTGGGCTCCAAAATATTTCCCTAGAGAATATGTCATTGATAGATCTTAGAGTCTCAAAATGGAGACAATGCAAGTATGGAGAGGTATGCTGAAGATTTGGAGTGGAAGGAACAGAAAGGAGCAAAATAGTTATGAGTGATACTTTTTTTTTCACTTACCATTGTGTCTTCAATTTATAAAAGTAATATTAAGCATTTCAAAACATACAGTATAGTTATACATTGTTCTTCAATTTGCAGGATTTTTTTAATTGATATGTATGATAGTACTGTTAAGACATTATAAACCTTTGTACATTTAATGAAGAATTCATAAATATAATAAATTTTCCCTATATATTTTGGAAAGTATGTTAATCTTAAAAATTGAATTCCTGATGTTTTACCATGAAAAACAACTTATTGTTAAACAATGTATGCACAGAATGAGAATTCCATGTTTATGTATACTGCCAATTGATTTTTGTTGTTTCCTTTGAAGTTTTGGTAGCTGTTGCAATTTATGCTGTTTTTTGGAACTTCGGACAAAATCTGTTTTGAAAAAAGTGACTATAATAATGATTATTTCAAAAGGATCAAGAAATGTCTTTCACACATGTGCAAAGTGTTTAGAATAACCTCAATTCATTCTCATTTTGACTCTATATCTAACTCTCTTCATGATTGTAAATCATTTGATAACCTATGATGATTACTGCATTTCTGCCTTAGATGTATTTCACCTCAACTTTAACTCCTTAGGTTCATGTTACATACAAAATCCATTGAGAAAGATGAAATGTTTATGCCCTTGTCAGTGGAATTCTAAGCACTGTTCACTTCTTTCCATGCACATTAGATCTTCATAGAAAATTTGTCACTTTTGTCCTTTGGTCTGAAGAAGTTCATTTGCATAAGATGCTGCTACTGTTTTAATTATTTCAGTAAAGGGTCTCAGTAAGAAGGATTAAAAAGACATGAATGGTTGAGAAATATTAGATTATTTCTTAGAATATTGTCAAAGAAGAAATGATAATTTTGAATGCTTCTGTTTCTTTTACCTTCCATTTATCAGTGAAGTTATTCAAGGACAACTTTGACAAAGACATTTAAAAAGTCTCCTCATGAAGCGCTTGGCAGTCTTCACAAAACAGTTCAATATACTTGCTATAAGTGCTGAGAGCTAATTGCTTCCGTTGGACTTGAGCAGTGTGTTAAATTGTCTTTTCCAATTTAGCTTAAACAAATAAAAAAGGAAGACTTTCATTTATATTAAGAAGGTTTGATATTTTTGTAATATCTATAATATTTACTATAAGAAGTCTTGACAGATGCAGCTAGTTTGGAAATTTTATAATAGAATATTTATTTTCTTCCATCATAAATTTACATTGAATATGGAGAATATAATAGTCTAAAATTCTATACTCTTTGCATCTGGATGAAATTCTAAATTAAGTTAGAAAAATATTGAGAGAAGAAATTCTAGATCTTTGGGTGAAGGTAAAACAAAAGATAGGTTTATAATAATTCAGTGAAGTGGAAATAGTTTGTGATGGTTAAATAAACATCATGGTAAATTGAAATGACATTTTCTCAGTGGTTGGATTTCGAAAGATTGAAATATTGTTTTTATATTCACATATATACTAGTTTCCATATTCACTGTTACTTTATTTTATTATTTATTTATTTAAATTTTCAAAGCTGGGGAATCAAGTCCTGGGCCTAGTATACAGTTTTCAAGCACTTTCCCACTGAGAAACATCTGGGTTCCTGTCACTTATTTGTTCAAAATCAATGATGAATAATCCATTTTCAACAAATATATTCTTATCTGTCTTTTGTTAGTTGGTAAAGGATGATTGCAGTTTTGTTCAGCAACAGACACAGTGTCCTAAACTTTTATTCTGAGAAACTGCAGATGTTTATTATTTAAGTGTGCCAATTAATGATTTAAAATTTTAAGATGACTCAATCGTGACAATAATTCAAGGATTCAATCACACAAGCACTAACACTTGGAATAAGCAGTGATGTAAAATTTGTATTTGTCATTCTCCATCTTTGTATGTTTGAATATCATTGATTCTGTAGCTGATACATTATGATTTACTTTTATGTTATTTAATATTTAACATTTGCCACTTAAAAGATTTAATTTTTAAAATAAATTTTATTTTTAGAATTTTCATTCAAATATAAATATAAATTTTAATTGAAAACAAAAGAGCTATAATTTTTAGCGTACACTATGCTTATCTGATGTCTAGCATGGTTAACCTGAAATACATGAACTATCAGATTTCATGTAATTTCTTTTGTCATGAACTCACATTTAAGTTGTACTTAGACTACAGTATCTTATACCTTATTAAATATATATTACTTTGTAACCTAAAAATTATATGGGATTGACTTTATTTAATGTGGTAATAAAGTACATGTGATTTTTATCAATGAGAATCACTACTACACAGCAATAATTACTCTATTCCTACACATTGTTTCTATTGCACATGTGGTGAACTATTCATTGAAACTACTAAATATGACTAGATATTGGACCTCTTATGCTAATTTGGATCAATTTTATTTTTAATTATTTTAATTAGTAGAATTAAGCATGAGTAAATACTTTTGTTTTTAGAATAACATATGTTTCAACTTTCTTAAGCTTAATTATTTTAAAACAAAGTTGGAAAGAATACTTTAAATACCTTGGTTACCCCAAAATTTTTAATATCATGCATATAATGTTAAAATACTCATGAGTCTGTCTCATCAACAATTAGTTTGATAATTGACTGTATGATTGTACCCTTTTTATTTCTCATAAAACCCCATGGTTAGCTGCTTATTTTCACATGGAATTATATACAAATACTAGAGAAATTCATTTTGTCAGTTTCTGAAATATTATTTTAAATGACTGTAGCATGATTTTTACATAACAATTGAAATGAAACCTGTTTTAATTTTATTTAGTTGAACCCTTTTTACCACAATATCTTATACTTCTGGATACATTATAAGAGGGAGCAACAGAAAAAGAGGTTTTATGACTATTACAGCCAATCATGACATAAGCTCTCAAAAATGTAGAAACAGACTTAGTTATTTCAACCCAGCAATCATGCTATGAGCATATGACTTACTGGTTAGAAAATGACTGATTTTTCCCTAAAATAAAGGTAAGCAAATATGACAAAAAACAGTACAAGGGGTCAAATCTCAATATTTTTTGATAGGTATACAAGTAGATAAAAAGATGGTAGAAGAGATATAGAGGTTACAAAAGGAAAAAAAGGAAGGAAGGATGGAAGGAAGGAAGATAAACACACATTTCCCATTCATCCAGACTTGAAGCAAAACTGATTTTATCAACAGAATAGATAATATTTATGCACTAAATCAAATCAATATGCAAATACACTCTAGGGATAAAAATTGTGCTTATTAAAGTTACCAGAAAAAAATCAATACATTAAATTTATTTTATTTCTATAATGTTAAAACATGAAATATGAAAAATTCCATTTATGAAAGCATAAAAACTTTGGTACTTAGAAATACTTTTAACAAAAGAAAATCAAAACATGAACATAACATGGCAGAACACCTTAAGAGCAATTTAAGAGCACAGAAACTGGAGAGCTACTCCATGGATGGACAGCAGTAAACCTCAATAGTGTAAATATATTGTATCTCCTCAAATGTATGAATTTATTCAGGGTAGTTTCTGTCAAAAGGCAAGAACTGTCATTGGAAAAAATAAGAACATATTTCTAAAATTCATATAGAAACTCAAGAGGTAACCAAAATAATCAAAGCTAGAGTAACCAAAACTACTTTTAGGAAAACAACCAAAAAAAGGAAAGTAAATAATAAAGTTCAAGAAATTATAAAGATTGGTATCAAAATTTTCTATGGAACCTACATTAATCAAGAAAATTTGTAGTGGTCTAAGATAGAAATATACATTCCTGTAATTAAATTGAGGCTCCAAATATGAAAACATTTGGCTAATTGAATGTTGACAAAGTTGCCAAAGGGAACTTAATGGAGAAAGATGTCTTTTAAAAACCGATTATGAGTGATTGCCTCATAAAATATGTTAAAAGTATGAAGTTAAACATTTACTTAACATTATGTATGAATTGCAGCCAATATGATTATGGTCAAAAAATTTAAGAACAAAAGCTTCAAAAATTGTATATATGATGATGAATTTGTAACAGGAATATACCCAAGAACACTACTCAGCAACAGGGAGAAAAATCAGTTATAAAAATACTCATAATATTTTAATACATATTTCAGTAAAGAAGACATGATACAGTAAGAATGTATATGAGATGGAAAGTGACAAAATGCATGCCTTGAGTTTAATACTCCTTTATTGAAGAGCTAACAAAATATTGCCAGGAGGATTGTAGTTCGAGGTCAGCTAGGGAAAAAGAGGTAAAGAGACTTCATCTCAATCAGTAAGGTGGGCATGTGCTTCACATTTGTGATCCCAGCTTTGTGGGAGGCAGTACATAGGAGGACTAACATTTGAGGCACACCTGGGAAAAAACATGAGAACCTGCTTGAAAAATAAAGAAAATGGCCGGCCATGTACCTAGCAAGTTCAGAGCCCTGAAATCAAACCTTAATACCACAAAATTTTTAAGTAGTTCTAAAACCAATACTATTTAATAGTACCCTTTGTTTGGACTATATGATTTTACATACTGGGGTAATTTTTCATGTGTAAGTTGATTGAGAAATTTCTTTTCTTTTATAAAGTGTGGTAAAGCTATTTTATTGGAGAACAAGAATATCTCCTCAGTTTTTTTTTTTCTTGACAGGTCAGTTTTACAAACATACTTTCAGGTGTTGAGAAAATAACAATTTATTTACATGAAATTACTGTTTGACTGGGTACACCCTGAGCAACCACTCTGTATATGCAATGTGTGTACAGACTGAGAGAATTGAAATGGGGAACTTTGTTGACTTTGTGATGACAGCACAGCACACCTGGAAGAGATGCTGAGGACCACTTGATGACTTCAAACACTGAGCTCTCTGTAAGGAAATCTCATTCCTAGCCCTGGCTGTGGGTCAGTTCTTTTCCCCATAGTCATGTAGATTCAAAGCAGAAACTAGAATAGTAGTTTTCCCTGCACCTCATATAGACTCTGTCCAAATTACTTTTGATTGTGTCATCATTTCTTATAAAACAGGAATAAAATAAAAATCTTTAAAATCAAGTTTTATGAAATTATCTTAATGCTTTTGACAAGATTGATTCTAACTCAAAGTGCCCAAGAACTCTAATTATTATTAGACTTTTTATGAACAATAAGTGCAGGAACTTCTGGTAGTAGATGAAATTATGGTTTGACTTTAAAGAGTGTCCTACCAGAAGCTATGAGATTTTGTAATATTATGAAAACTATTCTTATAATTTGAGTGAGTTTGGCTCACATATTGAGTATTAGAACAGAATTAAAAACAGACCATGAAAAGTGGAAGGAGGCAAGTTTAGATTTAAACAGTTATTTCCTGGGTTAGAGTAATTGAGGCTATTCCATAGAGATTAATTATACTTTGTTACTTACATGTCATGCATCTTTGTGAAATTTTCATTTTGAAATACCACGGAGATTAATAAGTGTTTGTCTTTAGGGACCCATTTCCCAGGAATTTAAATTATAAGTCTCTTCATGTGTACTGCTCAGATAACATTCTCACTACCAGGGAGGAAATGTTTGTTAGTCAAAACTAGATTCTAATGACTTGAAATTGGAGATGAATACATTTTGTGAGAAAAAATTATTTTAAAGATTTTTCTGACTCATTTCTTTTATAATGAGAGGACATTTATGAGAATTGTTTTCCTATGAACTTACTGCATCAAGTGATCTGTCTTTTAATTTTAGGAGACAGTAGGAACAATTTTCTCTGCACCATGAAACAGCAGTGTGTTTGAAAAAGTACAGACTACACAAAATGGTAGACTCTGCTTTTTACACAGCTATTTTTCATAGATTCCAGAATTTGAGATAGAGTGGAACTCACTAATTGCCATCCTAATTTTAAGGGTTCATTTCATGTACCTACAATTTGTTTGTGTGGAGTGAGAGCATATAAACTTTCTCTGTTGAGGATAGGTGAGTTCATTTCCATTTATTATGAATTACATATGGACTATTTTGTTATTATCAATATAAAACATTGGAAACAAAATTTTTCAAACTGATTTTACTTTCTATAACTTAGTTGATCCTTTACTTTTCTGTTTACAACCCAGTGGATTAAGAAAACCATGAGTTTCAGATCATAATTTCTTCATAATTCTTTAGAACTACTTCAATATTTGGATGAAATATCAAACGCTTCCAGTCCAGATTCTCTTCATTCAATTCTCATTTCAATGTGTTAATGAAGTCGCATGCTCACTCCTCCTGCATTCTAAGAAAGAAAGTAGAGAGTCAAATTCTTAAACTCCCAAACAAGTTGTCACTAAAGGAAAGACATGGATGGTAGGTCACATAGAAAATGTGATAGTTTTCCAGATATCTTTCTGAGAAAAATTGAAAACCTTTCACTTGCATATATTTTAAAGTAGAAAAAGTATTTTCTCCAAAGGTATAGATAAAATAAAAATATGATATTTCTGTGTTAAATATATCATGGTTGAATACATCCCTTTTACTCCCTCTTCCCCCATTCCTGGAATAGTTTCAGCAGATATCATTTTTCATAAATAAATTGTTGTGAATTCATTTGTTGCTAAAAACATAACCAATGACTCAATATATGATTTCATATAGTACTTAACCTACTTTCAATGTAATTAAACATTTCTTATATTATTAAGAATAAAATTCATCATTAACAGAAAGATAATTTAGCTTTTATCATTTTCTAGATTAACAGTTCAGGTAAATGTTACCTCTATAACTTCATAGAAAATTTATATTAAGAATTCTTCTCCTTGGGCTGGTGGAGTGGCTCTGGTAAAAGCTCCTGTCTAGTAAGCATGAGGCCCTGAGTTTAAACCACAAGGCTGCTAAAAAACAGAATTTCTTTTTTTGATGCACAAGAAATCTTAATCCTTACTTTAATTAGGTAAATTTCCTTTAAAGTGCAAAATTTTTAAAGTGTTTATTGTAAACTTCAATTTTTTACTAACTCCAAATAAATTTAAATTTAAACAATCTTCCCAAGGCACAAATTGCTACAAAATTTGTCATAAATCTGAATCTTGAAATTGTACAGCACATTTCTTGCTGAAAATTACCATTACTGATATGATGAACTAAAAACCAAAAGTTTTTATTATTAATTTGATACTTCTGGGGTACTAGAGAAGGGCAGAGAATACAGAAATTGTGAATGCATGCAATTACTACATGATGTGTGCGTGTGTGGAAATTCAAACATCATAGGGAAGAACAGGTTCTTCCAGGAAAGAGGGTGTTTCAGGGGAGAGTGAGGGGACAAGAGGCAGGGGGGAGAAATGACCAAGCAATGTATGCACATATGAATAAATGAATAAAAAAGAAAAATAAATATATTTGTATAACTAATGTATTAGAAATTATGTTTAAAATGATTCCTAAATTAGAGTACATTGTATAGAATAGTAGCTGTCATTGTGCTTAGACACAGCATAAAACAGTTGCAGGAAAAAGGAGTAGATTTTTTGAAGCTTCAAATGAATCATTGAATTTATTTTGATGTCCATGAAAAGATCTAGTATTAATCATGATAGGACTGCATGCTCAGAGACAACACTGTGACTCAGTTAAGCTTACTCAGGACACAAAAATTAATTTAGATACATGACTCCCACTGAGATATATAGCATTTAAAAAAATTTACAGTTGGGTTTTTGTTATAAACCTCATAATATTCTGATGTCAGTGATATATTTTGATATTAGTTGCAATATTTTCTGTAACTAATATAAACCCATCTTCTTCCTTATTCTCTTCCCAGAAAAAAAGAAACACAAACATATCATTCTTTGTAACCTGACTCATGGTAGCAAAGGCGGGTGAAAATTGTACGACTGTGACAGAGCTCATGCTTCTTGGATTGTCAGACAGCCCTGAGCTGACAGACTTCCTCTTCTTCATGTTCCTTCTCGTCTACGGAGTCACAGTTTTGGCCAACCTGGGCATGATCGCACTGATTCATCTCAGCTCTCAGCTTCGTACTCCCATGTACTTCTTCCTTAGCCACTTGTCATTTGTAGATTTCTGTTACTCCACAGTAATTGTTCCAAAGATGTTGGCTGATATGTTACACAAGGAAAAGGCCATCTCCTTCCTGTGGTGCATGGTGCAATTTTTCTTCTTTTGTACATTTGTGGTCACTGAGGTCTTTTTGTTGGCAGTTATGGCCTATGACCGCTTCTTGGCCATCTGTAATCCACTACTTTATATGACCATCATGTCCCAAAAGCTTCGTATTGAGCTGGTTTGTGTTTGCTATCTCTGTGGAACAGTGCATTCTTTGATTCATTTGTGTTTAGCTCTTGAAATCCCATCCTATAAATCAAATGTGGTTGATCATTTCTTTTGTGATCTACCACCTGTCTTTTCTCTTGCCTGTTCTGATGTGTCTGTTAATAAACTCATGGCATTTGTTTTGCCCACTATCAATGAGTTCCTTACAATGGTGATCATCTTCACCTCCTACCTGTTTATTCTCATCACCATCTTGAGGATGCGTTCTACAAAAGGAAAGCACAAAGCTTTCTCCACCTGTGCCTCCCACCTCACAGCCATCTTTGTCTTCCATGGAACAATCCTCTTTATTTATTGTAGGCCTAGTGTAGGCAATAGTCGGGATGCTGACAAAGTAGCCACAGTGTTTTACACTGTAGTGATTCCCATGATGAATCCCCTCATCTACAGCCTGAGGAACAAAGATGTGAAAGATGCCCTAAAGAAAATGAGGAGATCTAAATCATATTCTGAGGAGCCACTTTCTTAGGTAGAATCAGCTTTGCATAAAGGACTTTTCAAGGGAGTTGAGTTGGGATGAATGTGGGTCAAATGTCAGAGAAAATTGTTTTAGGATACCAAGGATTATACAACTTATGGTTGCCCACATCACTGGGTTCTACCAAATAATTGATAGCTTAAATGAGTCAATCATTTTTTTCTCTTTTTAAATTTTTAGTTGTTTTGAATGGGTTTGTTAAATGGTTCTATTAGACTTCATTTCTTGGTGGGAGAGTCATACAACGTATTTCTAAAAGTTGGGCATAGAATCATGCCTTTTCCCCAACCTGATGCACATAACCATTTTCACTCAATGTACTTTAGCATAGGAAATACATATTAGCTTTCCTATATAGTCAATGCTTTTTACTGAAAACACAGCATTGGTTGTCTGTATGTTTGTATGTATTTCTGGATATCAGCTTTTGTAATTTTCATTCAGTTTTATTAGTTTTCTACTGTAAGATTATAATTTTGAAACTTTCAAAACTTCATCAGCTATAATATACAATATAGAGTATATTCTATGCATTTCTTTATAAAATATCATGAAGATTAAATAATGCATCTTAAATTCTTACCATCACACATAGTATGTGATACTGATTAATAAATGTTTTGAATGGATTTGTTAATCCATTCAAGACTTCATTTCTTGGTGGGAGAGTCATACAACGTATTTCTAAAAGTCATACAACATATTTCTAAAAGTTGGGCATAGAATCATGCCTTTTCCCCAACCTGATACACATAACCATTTTCATTCAATGTACTTTTAGTATAGGAAATACATATTAGCTTTCCTTATAGTCAATGCTTTTTACTGAAAACACAGCATTGGTTGTCTGTATGTTTGTATGTATTTCTGGATATCAGCTTTTGTAATTTTCATTCAGTTTTATTAGTTTTTCTACTGTAAGATTATAATTTTAGAACTTTCAAAACTTCATCAGCTATAATATACAATATAGAGTATATTCTATGCATTTCTTATAAAATAGTCATGAAGATTAAATAATGCATCTTAAATTCTTACCATCACACATAGTATGTGATAACTGATTAATAAATTAGCTGTTATTATGTTATATTTTACTTTTATAACTTCTTAGATATTTTACTTAATTCTTGTTAGATATTTTACTTAATTCTTGATTAAGCAAAATGGGTTATATATTTCATGTCCTACCATTTTAAAGGTTCCTAAAACTTGATTTTTTTTCATTTTCTCTATTGGAAATCATTTTAGTCTTTCATACATTTTCTAAATCTATTGTATTCAAACAAATTGTATTTGTTTCTGAAAAATTACCAGAATGTCTTTGACTTAAAATTATTGAACTTTTTATTCCCTTATATTTCTGGAGGACAGAACTCTGAAAGTCCGTTTACTGTGGCCAATCTCTCAAGAGTTTATAAGGGAGAATCCATTCCTTGCCTCCACCAGCTGCTGGTGACTATGACATTCCCTTGATTTTTTTAGTCCTGTCACTTCACTCATCACAGCTAAGGACATTCAGAACTCTATATGCTCTATTTTATAACATATTCTCACATGTATGTACACACATGTATCTGTACATAAAACAACCTTCTGATTACCTCCTACAGGTGAACAAATGTCTTTCAATGCCATTTTATAATCTCAGCCAAACACAGCAGATAATCCAGGGTAGTCCTCTCATGTCAAGATCCTTATTTTAATCTCAAAGGTGAGCAAATATTTCCAAATAAGGAAGCATTTACACATTGCAGATATTGTGATGCATCTTTAGTCAGTTCCAAGCTTAACACACCCTTTTTAAAGGACAAGTAATAATTTGTTTCTCTGTTTCTACATTAACCCTTCATTTCTTTTGTCTCTCTCATGGTTTCATTTGTGATCTGATATTTATTTTCTGACTCACTTGTTTAAATGTAACAACTAAATCATCATTGCTTTAGTGAATTGGAAAGAATGGTTACATGAGCTTAAACACCTGTGTTCGTGTTGTGAATGACTGGGAAAGATGACTAAACTCAACTTCACTTCTCTTAAATATAAACTGCTGATAAGTGTCAGGCACTGATGGGGCCTGAACAACAACAACATAATAATATAATAACAAATAATAACAATAATACTTGCAAGAGCATGCATTTAAAATGCACTCTTTTATTTTTACAAAAAGAAAAACACTTTATTTTGGAATTCATCTCTATTCTTGTTTCTGTAGTCCCAATTGATTAACTTTTCCTTTTCATTTTATATGGTAATAATGTGTGAAAGAGATATTAGTCAGATTCAATCCTAAAAAAAATGATTTTTTAAATATGAATTTTCAGAGTCCTTAAAAAATGCACTTTTAATGGTTACTAAAAAGAAGTATTTCAAAGATGAACTTGGCAGCACATCCCTGTGATACTAGGTACTTGGAGGTAGAGGCAGGAGCCTGAAGTGTTTGCAGCCAGCATACGTAGACAAGTTAACGAGAAAAAGCAAAAAGTCTCGGGCATATTCAAATAGTAGAGCACTTGCCTAGGGTGTGTGATGCTCAGGGTTCAAACCCCAATAACACACAAAAAGTTCAGGTCAAAAAGTCATTTTTTTCTCTATTTTAAAAGATTACATTAATCCTAGCACTAAGAACCACTCATTTTTTGCTTTTTGTTTTGTAAATTAACATTCATTCCTCTTTCAGAAAAGAAGAACTTCAGGTAAAATTGAAATTATATACCTTCAAGTTATTCAGCTTGATGATACAAAATACATATAAAATGTGATACAAAATCTCCCTGTAATCAAGATAATAAATGTGTATATCAACAAATATTGGTACCATTTTCTTTTCTTTAGTATCTACCCCCTAGTATATTTCATTTATAAAATGTAGTGTCATTAACTATGATTGCAGTGTTGTTCAGTAATAATCACTAGCTGACTGATGGGGCTAAGTTCTGTTATGATGCAAATACAGCATTCAATTGATTTTCAATTTTTTAAATGGGTTAAAATATGACATATCACAGGTAAGAATTTTAAAATGGACAACAAAAATCTTTCATCTTTGCTCCCTAACCATAGCAATGTATCTCATCCTTGACACAAACTAACATTTTGGACCTGTCATTTTTGTGATGCAGTGGAGAGGGTACTCCTCAGTTTTGAGGGAAGTTTATACAAATTCATGCTCTCTATCCATTCAGTATCAGTGCACATCATCACACACATTTGTATATGCAAACAATGACACCAAACATGGTCAAATCTCCTCTCAAGTGTAAAGTCCTTCCAATTTGTTAGTCATTGGTCTGTAGATCATCAATCTACAAAGTAGGGAATCTTCTGTAAAGAGACTAGATTTCAATATTAAAATCCCCTCTATTTAAGAAAGCTTTTTGGCTACTTACACACATTTTAGCCAGTTACTACTTGGATCTCTCTACAGAATTTCCAATGTCCAGGTCAGAGACCTTGCATTTCTGGACTTCAGACTCCCAATACTTCTCTTTGTTGTGAGGATAACTGTTGCTTTCCATATCCTACTACGATACAATCATTTGTATACAAGGATGGACTGTCATGCTTTGTTGAATTCATTATATCAAGCTTTACATGAAATAATAATATTAAATTTTTCTTTCTTCTCAATATGATTTCATAAGTTACATGTCAATAATATTAAGGTTTTTTTCTTTCTTCCCAACGTAATTTCATAGGTTATTGAGGCACTATGATTATTTCTCTGACATGTCTGAAAACCAACCACATCAAGGTGTATTTTACATATATCGTATGAGCAATGCCTTAATTTACAAGCTATAGAAATAGAGCTGAATTTCTCACCCTCTTACTAATACCAATTTAGAGTTCTTGTAGAGACCCAGTCTCTCTAGTTCTTAGTAGATCTCTTTTTTTTGCACAGATGATATTTAGCAGCTGGTCATCTTGAGACCTAGTGAATTAGTTTCTCAACTGTGGAATTTTTCTAGATTTATTGGGAAGATTAGTTTCAGCTAATCTTCTGACCAAACAGATGCTCACAATTGTTCATAGCTCTCTTTGCTAAGAAGTGGGTTTGCCTGAGATTTAAATCAACAAAGAAGACAGCACAACAAATATAGATAAATAGAAAGTTGATAAACATTTTTTGAATTCCCAGGTATTTTCTTGATAGATCTAGGTCCAGATTTTTTAATTAAATCATAAATCATAAATAATTATACTTCTATAAAGAAAGCATCACAAATTTATTCTGCTATAATCTATTAAAATAAATCTAATACACGAACTTAGAAATTAAAAATGTTCAAGTTACTTAATGTGGATTATAAATATGAATAGCCATGAACATATAGTGGATTATGATACACTTGTACCCATCATACTCATAAAGACACACTCCTTATGCATATTTCCAGCCTTTTTGTTTTTATCAAGCAATACACTCCTCCAAGTCTCATGCTCAAATCTCCAATTATGATATGGGAGTTCCAATCTCCATGTAATCGCTCAGGCTGTTTTGCCATCACTCTCTCAGTTATTGTACTAGAAAATGTCTCAATGCTCATTTCAAATTATTCTTCTTTTCTTTTTTTTTATGAAGAACAATACCTGGAACAAAATATGTAGAGTGTAAACATATTTGTTGTATTAAGGCTTTAATGAGATAGTGGTTGTCTGACTTTGGATGTTAGAATTTACACTGAATACAAAGGCAAACAAATTGTAGTAAATATCAGTTATTGAATTCATTCATTATTTGCTTTTCTTTGACATTTTGAATTTCATGATCTTCTAATTCTAGTCACTAAATAGATTTTTTAAATTTCATTTTATTTCACCATCATATTTCAAAAAATTATCTAATAATCTGTTGATCAGTCGATTTGAGTTAGTTAAAGCAATAATTGTTGTATACAGGCACTAATACTTTTAATTGCCAAAGTCAATCAGTTCCACTTTAGTCTTCCTTTAAGTGAGCCATAAATCTTCTCTAAATCTTTAAT